ATGTACATCTTAGAAAATTTACAGTGAAGTTTAAAATATTAAAAAAAACTGAGTCTTGAAATTTAAACTAAAACATATATGTAGGTTTTTAATTGTAATTATTCACTTATTCATTAAATATGTGTTTAGCAACTACACACCAGGAACCCTGTTGGGTTTTAAGGATATATAGTGGTAAAGAAAGTAGATTTAGTCAATACTCTGCCAAGGGTGCTTGATGTAGCTGATAGTGACATTTTCTATCACAATGAACATATAAATCACCAATGTAAAAATATATTTCCTACTTATCTCAGGTTGTATCCCCTTATGATTAGTAGTAATAAGACAATCCTCTACAATTTTTTCATGATATTATTAATTCTAAAATCCAAAATGGTAGCATCAGCTACAAATGCTCTAAAAAACAAAATAATTGTAGTGTAAATTTCTAAAGCCATATTTTATGTTGCAGTAATTTACTAAGTTCCCCTAGTTAAGTAGCTTTACATCAATTAATTTATCAAAAAGGAGAGAGAGGAATCATAATGGATGATGGAATTATAAAAACAAATATTACGAGGCAATTCGTAAGTATTAAAATGTTTATGACATATACTTTACTAAGTAACATCTAATAAAAATTAATGAAAAATATATAAAATTATAAGTAAGAAACTTTATAAAAAATCAAACACAATATATACTTTTTGTACAATATAAGGAAAAATTATAATTGTAGTTATTTGACAGATATAACATTAAATTTCACATTATAGGAGTAACCAGAAAAAGGTAACATCAAGGATTTTTGCAAATGAAACTCATTAAGTGAAATTTTTACTATAAACCATAAAACTGAGCATAACATAAAAATAGAGAAGCTTCTGGTTTTTAAGTGTTCCTTTCTATAGCTAACAAGGAAAAATAAAATAAGGTCCCTGGGAGACTTGCAGTATAAATTGGGTCAGTGAACAACTCAGATGTCATATCCATAGTATTCTCCCCAAGTTCCTTGACCCAATACTTCTGAAGTATACACACATTATTAGGAAGAAGAATGGTTATTTTCTTTATTTTTTTCTTTTAAGATTTAATTTATTTATTTTTAGAGAGGGGAAGGGAGGGAGAAAGAGAGGAAGAGAAATATCAATGTGTGGTTGCCTCTCACACATCCCCTCACTGGGGACCCAGCCCGCAACCCGGGCATGTGCCTTGACTAGAAATCGAACTGGCGACCCTTTGGTTTGCAGGCCAGTACTCAATCAGCTGAGTGACACTAGCAAGGGATATTTTCTAACTTGTAGTTATATTAAACAGTGTTGAAATGAATAGCAGATAATTATTTATTGAAATTGTTTTCAAGGACTTCAGGGAGTCCAGTATGTGGTTTTATTCCCCTTCCTCATACTTTTTTAATTAATGACACTTCAATTTTGAGAAATGAGCATCATTGTTTATATGGGTACTCCTGTTTTTATATCCTGTAACTGTGGAAATATTTTATTTAAGTAATCACCTTTTTGTCAGGGGAGCAAAGAGGAGATCATCTGTTTTGTGACACTGATTTGATTACAACAATTGTATTGAAAGTCTGCAATACATAAAGCCATGAAACTTGGATATTCAGTTAGGAGAATAGACAGGGCCAGCCTAGAAACTTTCCTTCTACCAAAGTTCAGAAATAATGTGTAAAAAAAAAATTTCAATATACAGTTAAGCTCACAAAAAAAGAAAGGAAAAGAAAAGAAAAAGGAAAAAAAAATCCTCAGGTGTCAGAAATAAAGAACTAAAATCTAGGGCTAAAATACTAACTAAAATTTAGGAATGGTGTTAATCTTAAGGAGATCTTGGCAGCAAGGTAAATTGTTTATATGGCATGGAAATAGACTTTAATGTCTAGGAGCTTGACAATGCATGTTCATACTGGGATAAAGTACATATCTTCGGGGCTGCCCGAGAAGGGAAGTTGGAATACCAACAATGTAAGCACCAAGCCATGTCCACAATAGGCTATGACCTCAGTTAACTGAATGACTCTCACTGACTCAGGAAGAAAAACAAAAAAAATTTTCTCAAGAGAAACCAAAGCTTCAAGCCAATAACACAGGATTGCAGGTCAAGTGTATATTATCAAACAGTATCAAAAATGCACTGGTAATATTTAATATAAAAAATTGATTCTAAGTAGGTATAGCCCAAGTGTGGCTCTTAGTAGAAGCTAAAGCAAAATATCCTTGAGAGAGACTCACAACCAAGAATGCACACTATATCTTAAAACGTAGTCATGGTCTGCTAAAATAGGGAGTTCTCACTGAAGAATTGTATTAAGAACATCTAAAACATTTTCTATTGTCCTAACTAAAGAACACTATTAAAAGAAAACCTTAGAAAAATGGGAAAAAATCATAACTGACCAAATAGTCTTAATATTCTTCTGAAATAAATAATAATATTAAAATTTTAATAGCAGTCAGCTTGTATTAAATTATTTTAGGGGTCCAGCACAATTGGTATGAAACAAAGTGATATATAACACAAAAGACTAATGACACCAAGCCTGCCTATGTTTTACTACCTTCCTGAGTTATTTTATAATCCTCAGACTCTAAAATACTGAGTCATACTAAAAATTAATTCTTTTTTTATGATAGTAAAGAAAACTTTGCAAAGGATATTAAAAATGTTAATAGAAAATGAAAAAAACTTTATAATATAAATTAAACAGCAGTCTTAAAAGATATTTCTCCCAGTTCAACATTTTTATTCCTGGCACAGGCACAATCCAATCCAAACTGAGGTTGTTGCCTTTTCTATCATGTACCATTTCTACTTTGAATCTTTCTTGAAATTATGAAATGCTGTCCTATGTAAAACTGAAAACTTATTTTAAAACTAAATAAGTGTTTTTGAACCCTCAAATATTCACTTACCTGTAAGTTTTTTTAAATGCCAATTTTGTATAAATACTTTTTTTCCTCTTCTGACACTATTTTATGAAACATTGACTCAATAAACACTGTCAGCATAAAAGAAATAGTATTTTAATTAATGGTAGACTTTAATTGCCCGCTGCTTTCTTTTCATCAAGTTTTAAATAATACAAACCAAAAATTGAGGTAGCCCCAGTAAAATCTAGAGTAAATAAACTATAAAAATATCAAACTGTCCTTGAATGATGTTTAAATGACAAATGAAACTCTTACTATAACAATTAGAGGAATTCACAGTGTTAAGTGTGAGAAGTCCTTGAATTTAAAGTCTAGTTGAGCAGTGTGATTTCAACTATAGTCTATAGGCCTTCTTTGAGTAAAGCCACATGGATGCTATTAATAAATTCTTAATAAAATACCAACTGCACAGAAGACTGCCAAGTGGGTAACTGTAACTATAAAAAATAGTTTGCTTTGTAAAATATTTGTTAAAATAAAGTTTTTGACATTGTAAATGTGTATTATAATTATAGGGTAATATAATATAACATTTCAAAATTCTCAGGCATCTGCTAGTACTATAATATTTGCCTTAGGAATAATAAATATTGGCTAACCTTGCTTAGTATCAATGTTCTACTCACCCTGTATTTTCATCTTGAACTTTTGCCATCATCTGCTCACTCAAAAGAGATATAAGAATATTCCTGGACAATGTCTCTCTTAGTTTGTTTTATCTCCGCTATATGTCTTGGACAAATATCCTTCTTCATTCTTATAATCATGGTTCTAATTCAGATTTTTTCTGCTTTCATTTCAGTATGCACTATTTTCCTATTGTTTTTTTCCTACAGCCTTACTCTTAAATCCAACATTTTCAGGATCACCAAAATCACCTATGTAATGTATATATATCTATGACAACCCTTTGCTGAAAAATGTCTAGCAGTGCCACACCACATATCAGATAGAGCACAAGCTCCTTAACATATGCACCATGTCAATCTGTGTTAAGTAATTTGGATTTAGCTCCAATCTCTACAACCTATTCTCCGACCACTCCCTTTGTTGAATTTTTTTTACTCCAATAACACTAAACTGTTGGTGGATGTCCGGTCTTACCACCCCACTCCTTTTCTGAATGGCCATCTTCATTTGTCTCCTCTTATTGGTGTAACTTTAGCACCCTATACACTCTTCACCTGGCCAGTTCCAACAAATCTTTTAAGACTTTAAGCTCATACCAACACAAATTTCCCCCTTGGCCTCCATATGTAATCATGCAACTGCCTTCTCAGTCGCATTCTAGATAGCGTGACAAATTTAATCTGTTAAATTTAAACTGATTTTACTCCACCCACATCTCCAAAGAACTGTTCTTTCTATAGTCTTTCAATTTCAGTAAAGAGAAATACATTCTAGCTGCTCAGTTACATAGGTCCAGCATCTTACTCCTTGACTCTTTCTTTTTTTTCTCAGATTTCATAACAAGCTATCGGCAATTCCTGTTAATGATTCCTACCACATTTTTACCAGATCCAATTACTTCTCACCAATATTTGTTAACAAATGAGCAAATGAATGTAGCTCAGGTGTCTCTTAACTCAGGTAGTTTTCATGAATTATCAACGTGACTGCCTACCTGTCTTTTCTTATGCTTTCTTTAGAATAGAATATGTATTTTCATTTATTTATTCCACATTGTTTTATAAGTTTGGGTAACTGACTCCCATTAGACTGACCTTTGAGAATGGAAAACTCTCTCTCATGTTTTTAATTTCAGTGTCAACATGGTGCCAATCATCTAATACACACTTAGCAAACATTGGAATTGAATGAAGGAATGAGTGAATGAATGAACAGAGTAAAGGTTAAGCATCCTTCAGAAATATTCCAGATCTTTTTGTAATCATTAAAACAACAGGTTTTTGAACATGGAATACTAAATTAAATATATGTCTAGATCAAATGTGTCAAATATGTATAGCCTTGAAATATATCTAACACTTAGTAAAGGCTTTGATATTTGAGCTTTAACTGTTATTAAAATAACCTGTCTTTCAACTATTAAATTTTGTGTATTTTCAGAGATCATCTATAGTTGGGTATTTAATGAGTTCCCTTCCTTTGTGGCGGAAGACAGCCGGCGATTCATTTCCCAGGAGACAGGCAACCTTTATATTTCTAAAGTCCAAACATCAGATGTTGGCAGCTATATTTGTCTGGTGAAAAACACAGTGACGAATGCCCGAGTACTTAGTCCTCCAACACCACTCACTCTGCGTAATGACGGTAAGTTGTGTGGCTTCTATTAAGCTGGTCAGCCATCTCAAATGTGAAAAACAATGATGTAGTAGTGTTTTTCTAAGCCCTTAAACCTAGCACAAAATAAATAAAAAGACATTTGCCATGTTTAGAAACTCTGTATTTTCAGCCAGAGATTATGTATACCTTAGAATAAAAATTTTGACATAGGAAATTGATGATCTATAGGTGAGAAATAATAAACATAATGTCCCCTAATGCCAAAATGGGAGAGAGACTGTGAAAAAGGAACTGTAATGAAGATTCCACAGCTCTTTTCTTTGCTCTTGAGTGCCTCTATATAGTACATGTGCATGAATTGCAAGCATTTTATAGGTTCACTTTTTTTTATAGGTTCACTTTTCATTACATTTTTACTTTAGTTACCTTCAGTTTGAATGTTCATCTTTTAATACTTCATGGTATAGTTATAATTGTTATTATTACTTTTCCAATAATAGGAACAGTTGGGACTTTAACTTTTAAGTGCAATTCAGGCAGATTTGATGATTCTATAATTATAGATATTGCTATCTATCTAAAGTATCTTCAAATTTAAACACCTCATTTCCAGTTACAGACATTTACAGTTAAGCATTGCATTAAAGGAGTCAAGTGCCATATTACAGCTGATATATGTGGCTTGCTCTATCATGCAATAAGAATCTATAAATGCATATTAAGAAGTAAGCTTGAAAACTCTTATGTAAAGTTTAAAAAATAATGTACTTTAACAGTACTTTTTCATATACTGAGTTTTAGAAAATATGCTGCTGGAACATATGACCAGAGCTGTAGCACCAGATTTTTGCTTACCACTTAGTTTTTCATCTTATATATTTAGACTTCACAGTAAATATAAGTACTTATATTAGTAATAATACTATCAGGTAGAATGTGTAAATGCGGTATCCATTTTAGAGATGAGCAAGGCAATATTCAAGAGATGAAGGACCTACCGAAGGTCACCCAGCTAGATAACAGCATGGAAGGATAGATGGGGAACTAAAACAGGGATTTGGAGACCAATTGAGAGTCTGTTGAAGCCAGCCAGCGAAGAGGTGATAAGGAACAGAATGGAAGCGGTGGTAATGGCACTGGAGGGCAGGAAGCATGCCTGGGATATGAAGGAGGTAATCAAACATACCAGGATATGCTGATTAATTAAACACGGGGCTGTGGAGTAGGAGGAATCTACAGCACAGTTTGTTGAATGGGTAATGATTCATGGATCATGACCACAACTACAAATGGGAGTTCAACAGCGCTACTCAATCCTACTAAATTTCTGTGAGTTGTTAACCTGTAATTCTCTCAAAAGTTTTTAGAAGCCCCTCTGCTTCCCTTAAACTGACTTATAACCCAGTACCCCATCACAATAAAAACCCATATAAGTATCAAATTTATCTTCCTATTAATAAAATTCAAACCTAACTACATTTCCATTCATACTGTTCCTCCCTTATCCTATTTCAATACCTATAGTATACCACTTCTTCTTCTGTAGGACTATCCCTTTAACTTTGTTGATTTTTGTTCACTCTGGCCTTTTCAGAACATTACAGTGTTAGTCATTATCTCTTATATAACCAATACCAAGTCACTAAACTAATAAGTTATTCTTAGTCACCATATTAATTCATGTGAACAGGTGAAATTGTTGATCTTTTTTATGAACTCTATTTTTTAAAGAATCATTACTTGACCAATACTATATGAAAGGCTCAATAAATAAATACAAATAAGTAAAATGAAACTGTCATCTTTAATAAGAAACAGACAACATCTGCTAAATTTCAATTACATTTTCAATGACAGTCTTAAGATTTTGTGAGAGAAGTTACAAAATTTACATTTTTTCTATAAATTATCTCATGGTGTTTCCTTCGTGGCTCTTTGCCTTCTAATGTGTATTTTCCATCATAGTAATACACCCACATTGAATGAACAGTTTATAAGTGCAGACAAGAAAGCACACATGCACGGACACCCATCTCTCTCCCACCCTTCACATCCCTCTCCTTAAAGCCGACTTTTCAGCCGCTTTTTTTTTCCTTCATGAGGTTCACATATAATGCTAGAAAATATCTATACTTCTTGTTCAGTCAAGTTAAATAAAATCATTAGTGTGGTTAAGAAAGACAATGAAAAGAGTATGAAATAAAGAGAAATGAGTTTAGGAACAAACCCTAAGTATTTCAAATTGTATTGGAAATGTAAAGAATGAAAATCCTACAACAGATAATGATGAGTCAAGAGAGATAATAGGAAAAAAAACAGTAGTGTAGGATCAAGAAAGCCAAGGGAAATGAATGTTTGAACAAGGAGAAGCTGTATTTGTTGTCTTTCACCCTCTGAGACCTTATAAGGAAAAGCTACTCATCAAAAAACAAATGACAGATTTTGATATACTATTTCTGGAAAAAATAAGGAAGGTTGTGAGTTAAAGGATTAAACAGGTACAGAAAGTAAAACTCAGAATAAAGTTTAAGGAATCTAAAGAAGTGTAAAGAGCTAAAGATTATGTGCCCAGTGGAAGACTGAAGCTCTGAAATCAAAGTTAGCTGAAGGCAGACATAAAGTGAGACTGAACAGAAAGGGAATTCAAGGTATGTATGTTGAACATATTTCAGTGAAATATTGGAATCCCTTTTCTTCCCTATTCCTATGTGCAAAATGACCAAAGAGCTTACCTCTTAACAATATGAATAAACTTTTCATGGAAAGCTGAAGTTCTTGATGTGAATGGTGGCACACAGGCAAAAACGTATTCAGGCAGGTGAATGCCCACAGCCTGACAGCCAGTTCCTTGCTCTTCTCTCAAAGCTGACAGGCCTATCAACACACATTACCCAGCCTTCTCCTCACACCTGACTCAGAAAGGAAGCAATTCTACAGACAAGAGAACCACAATTTCCAAGCTTCTCAGACTCAACATTTATATTCAAGTCTAAGTTAATAGTTTCTATTAAAAAATTACTGAATGTATTGAGTGGTTATAGAATTTATACCAGGATGATGAATGAAAAGAACAATAAACTTTTAATATGCTAAGAAAGGCATCAGTTAGACTGGAATCTTTTTTTAAATCAATAACTTTCATATCACTATTTGTTCTCTCATTAAAAAACAACTGAAAAGCATGTTCATAAGAAGGACATACTCCTGAATGTTTTCCCAAGTAAATGGAATATATTAAACACTTAGTCTAAAAATAAAAATTGAATACAACTGTGGATGCATCCATTTACGGCACCCCGGTCAGCTGAAATTCCTGGTGGGTTTTACAAACTTTTCAGTGCAGACACAGACATCATAATAGATATTTCTGCAAACTTGGCAAACACCTCTGCAGGGGTTTGAATATAAAAATTACATTTAATCTGTTATGACCATAGAGTTAGCTATAAAAAACATTGAAAGAACATTGTGTTTTTATACTTCTCTGGAAAAAAAAATAGACCTTTCTAAAAATAATAGAAGCTATATACACAGGCAAATTATATCCTCACAAGTGCAAATAAAATTTTACTTTAAAACTACTATGAAATCTCTTAGATTCCCTTAAAGCAAAGCTGGAAAAAAATTTTTGCTTCTAGATAGTTTATTTGAAATTTACCCCAGAAAGCAGGACTATGGGATGGCGTGAGGTTGAGCAGTGAAACAGTGAAAAAGTGGGTTGCATTATGGGGATGAGCACTTCTACAGAGAGCTGGAGCTTGATCCCACAGAGCCAGAGGCTTATGAAGTGCGCTAAGAATAGCCTCCTTGGAGGACTTAGTCTTACTGGGCTTTCATTTCCCATTCCGGGACGCTGGCTCCATGGGCAGTTCGTTTCTGTGCACCTGCAGGTGGCGCTGAAGTTCCAACCGTGTGAAACTGGTCACACTCGCATAGACCTGGTCACAGTGACGACTGCCGCAGTGAAAATTTTGACCGAGATTATGTGAACTGGCACACAAGAGGTGTCTAAAACATAGATGAGGAAGCTTTAGAAGATTTGAAGTGTATGAGTGACCTGATCAGAATTTCCTTTGCTGACACTGGAAAATTTGCCTCACAAATTCACAAATGTGCATTGTACACCTACTAAGTGTCAGATAATTTATTACGTAGTGGTTACAACAGAAGGGAAAACAGATGCAATGACCATCTTTATTCACAGTATAATATAAGAGAGGATGATACCCTAAATTTTGAATGTAGCTATGCCCCCCTAGGATCTGCCTGCCAATATCATAAATGATTTCAATTAAAACAAAAACAAAACATCTAGCTCCAAAAGCATTTATGAGTAATACAGATCTTTACTAATACTTTGGAGGGTAACAAATGAGGTGCTGGCTTTACAGACAACATACCCATGTTTAATAAACACTCTACTCTAACCATATCTCTCTTTTACCAACCTTTCATTCCTGCAACTGCTACATATATCTGTCTCAACATACCTTTGCCTCTTCCCCACAACACTGTTGCCTCTCTTTTCCCTTCAGTGTCTCACTATCTCTGCCTTATATATGGCAAATTCATACTTTCATTTCTCCTTTCATTTGAGTCTCCAGTCCAATTCTGAGGATTTTTTTTTTTTGCTTATTTTCTTTATTTAATCTGTACCTATGTTTTGATACTACATGTGAGGTATTGTCTGAAAAACTTTACAAGTATTAGAGTGAAAGGATGGAAAATATATGTAAGCACATATGAAAGAAGTTGAAGTTCTTCTATTAATATTATACAAGATATATTAAATGAATTTCTGAAGATAGAGCGGATCGCCATGTTCTGATAATAGGTTTAATTCTTCAAGAAAATAGAGCAGAGCATCTTCCCACACAATCCACTATGTACAAGACCAGGCTCCTTACTCCTTCTCTGTCCAGATGGGATCTTCTCTTATAAGATCCCTCCCCTTCCTAAGTTGACACATTCTCTCAACCTTCTTCTTTAAAGCTAAAGCAGCACTATAGAGGTACAGAGGAGGAGAA